ATTTGATCTTTAATATTATCTTGGAATGTATGGATTTAAATTTACGGTTTCTACAACTTTAAATTTGTAAATTAAGAGTGTAAAAATTAAAAAAAATAAGAAATATAAAATAAATTAAATATGATAACTATAACGTATAAAATGAAAATTTTGAAAATAATTCACTACATATTTATGTTATTTAATAATATGAGACTAAATCGAAAAATAAAAATACTCTAATTCTGAATGCATTGATGAGACGATTATAATTTTATAATTTATAAAAAGTGAAACGTATTTTTTTAATATATTTTAGTTAATATATAATTATGTTTGATAATGATGTAAAATAAAAAATAAAAAAGAAAGAGATATAAAGTAAATTAAATAATTAACTATAATGGTGTAAAATGTAACTTAAAAATTAAAGATAATTTGATTTTAATATTATGTTTGAAATGTGGAAGCTTTATATAGGTGTATTTAGCTTCAAAACTTGTGCATGGTGCATAAATAGTTGTAACTCTTAAATTTCAACTCTTAAATTTCAACTCTTAACCGTTTAGGATATTTATATATATATATATATATAGTATAGATAATGAAGTTTTTGAATAATTTTTCGAATAAATAAATCATTAACTTTTTAAAATTGATTATTCTTATCTTTTTAATTTAAAAAAATATATTTGAATCAGATTTTAAAGTAAAAAAAATACCACACATCCAATGTCATAGCTCTCCTCCATCCTTGCCAACCCAATCTCCCAATCACCATCCATCACTTTCTTTGGTCCAATCTCCATCTCTTTTACATTCTTTTTGTTTTTCGATTTCCCCTCTTTTTTTATCTGTTTACACGTACTCAACTAAATTGTTGTAATCGAAAGACAAAAAAAAAATACAAAAAAAGAGAGATTGATAGTAAGAGCCAATAACAACAATGAACGATATAGATAATTGACGATGACAAAAGGGAGCGATGAGGTTGGGTGCTACTGATTTGAATAACATAAGGTCTAATAACAGTAAAACTGATTTAGGTTATTTTTTATTATTATTATTTTAAAACTTTCCTAACCAATTATATTTATCCCTTTTAATTTAAAAGGATGTAAGTATTAATTTCTAAAATTTTAATTGTTTATTTATTCAGATTTAATGTTTTAAGGCTCATTTTAAATGAAATTTTTTAAATGATTAATTTATTAAAAAACTTAATCGCTGAAAATAAATATTTAAATTAATAAAGGACATAAATTAAAATTTCTAATCATCTTTATATTTATACGTCTCAAAATCACATTTTAATTTTAATTACTTAAAATATCTATTTAATTATTAATGATATATTTTTTTCGTTTATTTAGTTCCTTACAACTTACTGTATAACAATGCAATTTTTAAAACAAATGCCTAAATACTTAATTAAAAAGGGAAATGATTAAAATAATCAATTTATATACTTTATATTAACAAAATAACTACTTTTTAGGCATTTTTAACAAAATAACCACTTCAATCGCCCCCTCAGGACGATTTGACGATTTAAGGGAGGAAAAAATTACAAAATCAAGTTGCCACATGAGAGAGAGAGAGGGGGGGGGGGGAAGAATTTTGGTGTCTTGAACCTAAGGATGGTGATATGCCCCGACCCAGTTGGGAACCCGACTCACTCGACCCGAACGGGGTTGGGGATTCCTCGCTAAAATGGGTCGCAGGATCCTTGATAGACTCAAACAGAGGCCGGCGATCCCTGGTAAAATCAAACTAACATATATTTTTCATAGGGTTTGACTGAGGTTTTATCGGGGTTTGACCGGGGACGAGATGCTAATCCATGTACCTGCCATGGACGTGGGGCCAAGGGCTATTACTAAAAACTGGGGTCAGGGTCTGGGATTACAAAATCCGCCTAGTTTCCATGCCCTCTTGAGCCCTGCGTTCAAAAAAGCATAACAGTTGACACTTTTTTTTTATTATTATTTTTATTGAAAGAGGTAAATAATAATAAATAGGTAAAAGACAAATCAGTCGAAGAGAGATGGTAAAGTAGTCCAGCTTTTCACATCAATTTTTTTTTTATTATTATAAAAAATCAAATCTTTGAGTCAAGTTTTACGATTCTTGACGTGATTTTATATTGTGTATATGATGTTAGATTGTGTTTAAGGGTTAAAGGTTATGAGAGTAAAAATATTTGATTTTATATAGAAAAAAACCACAACATTTATAAATATACTACATTTGGTCCTAAAACAGACAAAATAACATCCTCCATTTACCGAAAAACATCTATTAATTGTCAAAATAGGTGCGTCATAGGATGTTCTCATTAGAGAATGTTCTAGTTTGATTTTGGTCAAATCGCCCTCAGGGGATATCCTGGAATAGGTGGGGGCGATCCTCTCATTTTTCAGACAAATATATGATTTTTGTCCTTGAAATCAGATGCATTTTGGTCAAATCGTCCCCCGAGGGAAATCCTAGTGGTCATTTTGTATAAAAAAAAAAGGTTGAAAAGTGGTTCTTTTATTAATACATTAGGTATAAATTGGTTATTATGGTGATTTTCCCGATATTAAATACTTTTGGGTTTTTTGGTAAATATAATGCTTTATTTATTTAAAAAATATATTAAGTGACTTACGAAACCATCTACATAAACACTTACTCGGTAATTGTTTAACAATAAGATTCAACACTGTCATTCTTTTAGTTCATCAAAACAACATCATATACAACAATTTACTCAGTAAACTCTAATCGGATAAGAGTCGTCACCCCCACTTACTGGATAACGTTTGGTTCTTGTCATTACTCTTATTAGGTAAGATTATCAGCTTTTGTCATGTTCATTTGATAAGATAAGCAACCCAATTAACATTTAACGAATACATGTTTGGTAAGCGAACCCTTGCTCAAAATATAAACGCTTTTTGAATTTTCTCAAACATTATCAAATTATAAATGTGTTAAAATATTACTATACACGTTTTTGTTTGGGGAAAGATACATAAATAACCAAAGTTGAAAGGTGATTTCACGTTTTAGTCATTTTTTAACTTAAATTTACTTTTTAGTCAATCTTTACACAGAAGGCTTAGTCTTCTACAAAAACTTAATTAAAAAATACTAAAAAAATAAAACCGAATATTTACGTGAACTTAGGTGTTGTTCGGTATTAACTGATTAATGATTTCGGCATATAGTCTAGAGCACGTGAGCAACTCGTGAAGTTAAGAAAGGACCACACCCCCGCCATTAATTTATTTCAAACCTTGGAAATCCAACCCCCAATAAAGCGGCAAGCACCTCATCACCACCTTTTTATAACAATCACCCTCGCCTCCGCCATTTCCTTCCCACCGCCTCTATCGCTGCCGCCGGAGGATACGCCCTTCTTCTTCTTCTTCTTCTTCCGTTTTCTACTGTTCACCAATGGTACTTTGACTTATTGTCTCTATTTCATCAACCACAGTTTGTGTTTGTGTGTGTGTGTGTGTTGTGTGCAGGAGCTATACAAGATATAGTATGCATAAACCTGTAATTTATCTATAGAGAGAAAAAATAGGTATATATATAAGAAGAGAGAGTGCAAAGTGTCGATTGTTATGAAATTTATGTGTGTCGATGATAGCAGAAAATATATGATTATAATATAGAAACACACAGGAGACAGGCCGGCGCTGTTGGTTTGATTTGGAAGGCGAGATTTGATCAATTTGGATGATGTGTTCCTTCATGCTGTGATCTATTTGCGGATAATTTGAAATTTGTGGACTGTGGTGTGTTTCTCGATAGTTTCAGTTATACCTAAGGCGTGGAAGTTACAGATCAGGCTTCGGATCATAGGATTCTGGAGAATTTCTTCCTCTCTTGGTACAAGTTCTGTGAAATTTTTTTCCATCAGATATCATCTGCTCTGTTATCACACCGTTAAGTTTATTTTGTTGGAGGAGGAGTTTATAGTTCAGTTCGTTTATCTTGGAGTGAATAATCTTGTACTCGGAAAGAGATTAGCTAGGGTTTGAAACGAAACAGGAAAGATGGAGAATAAGCACTTGTTCATGTCAGCTTTGAGTGTGGGAATAGGAGTAGGAGTTGGGATTGGAATGGGGAAGACGATGAGTAGGTGGACTGGCGGTGATGATTCATCAGGAAACGGACTCACTCCACAAACAATGGAGCGTGAGATGCTTAGTATGATCGTGGACGGCAAAGACAGCAAAATCACGTTCGACGAATTTCCGTATTACCTAAGGTAATTGGTAATAGGCTTGATTTATGTCTGTGCTTGTTTGTGTTAACACTTCTTTCTTCATCAAATTCAAATTATCAGGTATTTAGGATGCATCATGCTTTCTCTATCAGTATGCGCTGTGAAAACCGAATTTGATCAGGATGAAGTTTTAATTTCCCATGCATGGTTGAACCACAATTTATCACACATGGTATCATCATATCAACGATGATCCGTAAACGAGCAAAGAATCAGACGGTCAGATCTATCCGTTTGGTATTCTGGACATCTTCCTTATAAGAATATGATAATTTTGCTGGATAGATGTCAGTGAGAGCATCCGTTTGAACTTTGGAGTTTATCCAGATTTAGGTTTTTGGTGATACACACAACACATGGCTTGATTTTTGCCCTTCATTAAAAAAGTATTATTTTTTAATTTTAACAATAGATGATTCACCATGTTTGTCTTTTTTATAATCCACCCTGGTGGACCAGTCTATGTTTCTTTCTTTAGTAAATTTGATTTACACGTATGTAGGGGAATTGAATTCCGTGGACCATCATTGTGATGAGCTGCCCCCAGTACCTTATCAATCTACAGACACTCATATCGTTATACGAGTTAAGTAAGTTGAAACTAATTAGCTGTAAATATTACTGGAACCGGACCAATGACAGGCTCCCTTGACTAACATCCAACGCCCACTAGCAGAAGTTGGAAACTGTAGATTGAGTTTGTTCCTTGAGATGAAGCTATAGTCTAATTTTTTCATATTCAGTGACAATCTTGTAGCAGGGGAACAATTCTTTTAAACAACATAAATACTTAGGAAGAACTTACGTTACTATGTGCAAGTATTGGTGTGCATAGGAAGGACTCACAGATAAATTATAGAACAAAGGTTTTGGGATGTTTAAAGTTGGCCAGCATGAATATCTTATTCGAACTCCAGGAGCTCTCTACCCATTTAGATTATTGAATTCACCCAGATTATTTGGTTAATAATGGCTATTTTTTCTTCACCATTTAAACAGCAAGCAGACGAGGGTTTTACTTACAAGTGCGGCCTTTGTTTATTTGAAGAACATTGACTTCTCCAAGCACACAAGGAACCTTTCTCCGGCAAGTCGAACTATATTGTTGTCAGGGCCTGCAGGTTGGTAAATTTTTTAAACAGCTGCTCTGTAACTCTTGAATTGATCTTAACTGCATTCACTAATTTGTCTTTCTATTGTGGGTTTACAGAACTTTACCAGCAAATGCTTGCCAAGGCTTTGGCTCACTATTTTGAAGCCAAGTTGTTGCTGTTGGATGTCAATGATTTTTCACTAAAGGTGAGCTTGTTAATTGAAAATTTCCTGCCGTTTAAATGTACTAATGCCTCGGTCTTGATTTTTGCCAGGTACAGAGCAAATATGGTGCTTCCTCCAAAGATACTGTAAGCATTGTGCACATCTTTTAAATCCTATAATTGCTGGGTTAACATGACATGCAATGGTTTTCCTTCCTATATTATTCTGTTTTTCTATGTATTGGTTCACTAACATGCTGCTGTAGACCTTCAAAAGGTCCACTTCAGAAACAACCTTGGGGAGAATGTCGGACTTATTTGGATCAACCCTATCTATGCTTCAATCGAAACAGGAAATAGAAGGTATTTAATTCAAGTTGTTCTGTTCACAGTTTACATGTCCCATTGAAACTGCCTTTTAATCGGGGCTGATAAACTAGCATGTGGAGGCATGATCTAGCTTCTTATGCATTCAAGAAGTTACCCATTTAAGCTTCAAGTGGTTCTAGATTTGACTATCACAATATATAGATAGGAGGCAAATCAAATGTGAACTAGAAAACTGTTGAGAACCGTGAGTTTCACATGTAAAACTTATAATATGAAATTTGTTTCACAAGTATAAGTGTCATGTTTAGTGGGGAGTTACAGACTCTATGTATGTGAGCGGAGCACTCTAGTTGTCAAGCCTGAACTCCGGGAATGCCTATCCAGGCATTAAGAACCCCCTTTGTTCTCTCAAATGTACATGGATCTTGATATGCCAATCAAACAATGAGGATAATCTCCACATCATGGCCAAGAGAACTTTGTAATTTTCTTTTGGTATCTGCTGATGTTTATTTAGTTCTAAATTCTGAAATGTTCACATGCTTTTATGGTGTTGTGTAGTAAAATTATTTATTGCTGTTCATGCTTATATTTTATTTGTATAGGTGTTGCAGGGACATTGCGTAGACAGAGCAGTGTTTCTGATTTTGGATCAAGGTGCGGCATAAATGCTGTTGATGGAAGTTTATAAATGTGATGAGCAACTTTTTTCACTTCTCTTCTTTATTTTTAGGGGGAATGAAGCTTTCTCAAATCCTCCAAATCTTCGGAGAAATGCATCTTCATCAACTAATATGGAAGAACTTGCTTCAAAATGTACTCCACCAAATCCAGGTACAGTATCTTATCCAAGATTAATAGAAATCAGATATATCGGGAGCTCTTTACATGTATTGCAAGATCAGGTGTAAGCTGATAGTGGCGCTATAGCAAATCCACCTACGAAGTAGGGTTTAAATCTGAAGTTTCATTAGCTATGGAGTCCTGTAATAGTCAAAATTGAACAGTGGTCAGTTCTTAAAGAACTGTAGTTGGACCTTTACAGTTTCAATTAATGGTTAATCAGCTCATTTGTTGGGTGATCTTTTTGTTTGCCATAACTAAACATAGTTTAATGCTAAACAGTGCTAATAAGCAGGTCAGTGTTACAAGGAGAACAGAAAGGTCTTTTGAGCTTGTTCTGGTTGAAGTTCATGTTAAAAGTCTTACAAATATGACTTGTATTTCCGTTGGGCTTATGGTAAGTTTTGGCATTTCCTTCTTCTCAGCTCCACTTCGACGCACGAGTAGCTTGTCTTTTGACGAGAAGCTTTTCGTACAAACCTTATACAAGGTATAATCTTGTGTCGTTAGTTTCTCTGTCCTCTGCACAAGTCTTTCTTCTCTGCCTTGCCGGTAACCTTTTCCCTGAATTTGCAGGTTCTTACTTTCATATCCAAAAACAATCCTATTGTCTTGTATCTTAGAGATGTTGAGAAGCTTCTATGCAGATCCCAAAAGTTGTATTTCCTGTTCCAGAAAATGTTACAAAAGATTTCTGGACCAATACTGATCCTTGGGTCACAAGTTGTGGACTCTGATAAAGATTACAGAGAAGTGGATGAAAAGATTACTTCTGTGTTCCCATACATCATTGAAATCAAACCTCCACAAGAAGAAAATCATCTTGTTAGTTGGAAGAGTCAACTGGAAGAAGATATGAAGATGATCCAATTTCAGGATAACAGAAATCACATTAGTGAAGTACTTGCTGCCAACGATCTTGACTGTGATGATCTTGCCTCTATTTGTGTGGCTGACACAATTGATCTTAGTCACTACATTGAGGAAATCGTCGTATCAGCTATCTCGTATCATCTGACACATACTAAGAATCCTGAGTACCGAAATGGGAAACTAGTTATTTCTACTGCAAGGTCAGATTAGCTTATTATATGATTATTGGTTCTCTGAAAGTGTGTATACAGGGCTGACTTAATGTCTTGAACAAAAACAGTTTGTCTCATGGACTGAGTCTGTTCCAGGAAGCTAAATCTGTTAAGAAAGACACCTCGAAGGTTTGTTGTATTCTATTTTTACTTTTAGGATTAGAAGTTGGCATCCAAAACAAATCCTTTATTTCAATCTTTAAGGAAAAAAGATTGTCCATTATATTGAGTACCATTTTCTTTCTTCATCGAGTGGCGTCTTCATTTTTATTGCAACACTTGCACATTTTATAGGATACAATGGGGAAAGATGCTGCTGCCCCAAAATCAGAAACCAAAGCTGAAAGCACCAGTCCTAATGAAGCAGAAGTGTTGGCTCCCAAGAACAGCGATAATGTCAACCCAGCACCTAAAGCTCCAGTAAGTCCAAATTCCCCAAAAGTGTTGCTGTTTTCTCTTGATAAGTCCAAAATCCTCAAAAGTCTTACTGTTTTCTCTTTGATTCTTCTAATAACGGGTCCTTTAGTTAAATGAATTTATGTCGGTTTCTTTTTCAATCCATGACCGTTTTGACAAGTTTTGAGAATGTGACTACTTAACATAAGAATGTCACTTCCATATATAAGAATGCCTAAAAACCCGTCAAAAGATCATGGTTTTAAAAAGCACCTGGCATGAGTTCATTTAGCTAAATTACCGTCTCATCACTCATTCCATAAAATATCCCCATATTTTGTGGTTCTAATTATGCTTGTACCATTTATTGTGAGGTAAAACTTTGATTCTCTTTTCTTTTAGGATGTTCCTCCCGACAATGAGTTTGAGAAGCGCATAAGGCCTGAAGTCATACCAGCAAGTGAGATCGGTGTGACTTTTTCCGATATTGGTGCCTTAGATGACATTAAAGATTCACTTCAAGAACTAGTAATGCTACCTTTACGAAGACCAGATTTGTTCATCGGAAGCCTTTTAAAACCATGCCGAGGAATATTGTTATTTGGGCCTCCTGGAACAGGGAAAACTATGCTTGCCAAGGCCATTGCCAATGAGGCTGGAGCCAGCTTTATCAATGTTTCCATGTCCACCATTACTTCAAAGTGGTTTGGTGAAGATGAGAAGAATGTCAGAGCCTTGTTTACTCTTGCAGCTAAGGTCTCACCAACAATCATATTTGTGGATGAGGTTGATAGTATGCTGGGTCAACGGTCAAGAGCCGGGGAGCATGAAGCAATGCGGAAGATTAAGAATGAGTTCATGACTCACTGGGACGGACTACTGACTAAGCCAGGTGAAAGGATTCTCGTTCTTGCTGCAACTAATCGACCTTTTGACCTCGATGAGGCAATTATAAGACGTTTCGAGAGAAGGTAATCATTCCACATATATGTAATTCCGACTTTTATGTTTATATTTTACCACTCTACCACATATCGAAAGTCCTATTTTCTTGTGATTACAGTCAGGAATGTTTAAAAGAACTTGAGTTTTACAGTAAACTTAACTTGAAATTTATATTATTTCTCTGATCATGGATAGGATCATGGTTGGTCTACCATCTGTAGAAAATAGGGGAATGATATTGAGAACTCTTTTGGCAAAAGAAAACATCGAAGAAGGATTGAACTTCAGTGAACTCGCCACCATGACTGAAGGATATTCTGGAAGTGATCTGAAGGTAGTATTTTTGTTTAATTAGCATTCATCTACACACATGATTACCTAATTCTAAGGATTGTTCAGAAACATAATAATTTGATTGTTATATTTTTGTTTAATCTAGAATTTGAACAGGTAATGTTATGCTTGTTTTATTCAGATATTTACCGAACAACTATATTTCATTCATAACTAAATCTAAAGAGGGTAAAAATGGTAATTTGTTGTCACTCTGACTGTCCATTCAGAATGGCTACCAAACAACCATATTTCAATCTGCACTATATCATGCAGAGCCTCTTAACCATTCAACATCAAACCATTCAACAACTGCCAAACAGCCCCTAACCAATGGGTTTGTTGACAATACAGAATTTGTGTACCACTGCTGCTTATCGACCTGTTAGGGAGTTGATACAACAAGAGAGATTGAAGGATATCGTGAGTATCATGATCATTCACAACTACCATTTTATTTTTCTCGTTACAAGTGGCTGACTAGCGGTGTATCTATAATTGCAGGAGAAGAAACGCAGAGCTGAGAGTGGTGAAGAGCCTCCATCTCCAGAAGAAACTAGGAAGGAGAAAGTGATTACTATCAGGCCGCTGAAGATGGACGACTTTAGGGAAGCCAAGAATCAGGTTTTTTTTTCCCTATCTATCGATCAATTGATTGCGAGTGAACCATCTAGATCTATAGGCATGAAGTTTCGTTTAGTAATCTTTTGCTCGACACTAGATCAATCTACTAGTGATCCAACGCTGGCAATCTACTACTGTTTGTATCATGTATGGTAGATGCTACACATCTAACAATATCAACATCCAATTCTAGTATACTATGACAAATAGGGTGTAGTTTCATCACAACTAGACAAGTAGTTGGTAGCTGAATATAGTATTGTAGTTTCGGTTTTACATAGTTCAAACTTCCTGTTAGAGTCCACATCGACTAGATTTGGACCTTTCTACTGCAATATATGTCGGAACCTTTCTTCCCTCCTCAACGACTCTTTTGAGGAGTAATTTGATGGGGTTCCACATCTCACATGGTATCAGAGTCAAGGTTTACCGGGACTTGATACACGGGGACATCTATGCCCGCTAGAGTCTCATATTGGAACCACTCCTCTCTTCAAAAGCTCTAATGGGTTGGGAAGAGAGAGTTATCTGATGGTGTTCCATATATCTTATACTTATCACTCTTAGGGTGGAAAGATAAGCTTTTTAAATCTAGATAGATCTACTTGAGGGGCTGTTAAGTTGGTTTTCCATCAAGTCTTGTATAGATAAAGTTGTTTGTGTGGGATTTATTTGTCTTCATACATTGGGAATGTTTTTATTTGAGAGGGTTTTTCCATATATGGAAGGAACGTGTTTTTTTAATTAGGAGGGACAAGGAAAATTTGGCTTTTTGCATAAAGCCCTCCTCTTGAAACTTACTGAATAAGTCACTTTCTACATCATTAAGCCACTACCAAACAGTCATATATAGCTGCAAATAAACTGTGTGCCCCGTTAAGCTGCTAACGAACAGGCCCTGAATGTGGGATGCATCTCGTTCCGCATGGTGGTAGACTCCGCCTGATTTATTGTATCGTGGTCAACACTATTATGTACGATGCACTGACTTCTCTTCTGATTGGAACTTCTTAACAGGTGGCGGCTAGTTTTTCAGCCGCGGGATCCATAATGAGCGAGCTGAAGCAATGGAACGAGCAATACGGGGAAGGAGGTTCAAGGAAAAAGGAACAATTGTCATATTTCCTGTAAGTGTGTTTTGCATAAACATAATGACTACCCCCACATGTCCTCATTAGTGTGCCGAACCTCCAACGAAAGATAGAAAGAAGTCTTGCTACTCGCGCTAAGCGAGCATACAAAAACATTAGAGCCTGGGAGGGATTAATGATTAATCTGTTGTTTGTTACCAAAACTATGGGTCAGTTGGAGAGGGCAGGTGGGTGGCTTGGAATTACACGAGAGGGGTCCGGTATCCCTCTTTTTAATCAAGGACGATTGTGTGGTGTTGTTTTCCCATAAATTTACAAAATATGTATCGTTTTGGATCTGTCTGGTGTTTGGTTATTTCTGAAGACAGTAATAATGCACTTGTACTAGCTATAGGCAACTGGTAATGAGATATTATATTATATTATATGTGGTGTTAATGTATGTTGTATTCCATTTTTATGCATGCATCTTTTCTTTTTTAATATGACATGTTTTCTTTCAAATGTGGAGATTTTCTCCATTAATTTTTTTCTTAATCATCAAAATTCCTAATTCCTAATTCCTAAAAGAGCATAGTTGGCAGAGATGTAATGTTTGAACATAACATAAGCATCATAATAAACGAGTCTTTGGAGCATCTTCAATGTAAGGTTTTTATTAAGAAAAAGTGAAAAGTGATTTGTAAAGCTATCATTGTGAAGAGTTCTTATAAGAGCCTTATCCTCTTTAGGTATTGGGTTCTCATATAAGAATTTTGGTTTTTATTTTAAAGTTTGTGATAAGTGACTTTTTGCTACTTCTTTATTTTATTTTTCCGACCTTATAATTATTATTGGTGTTGAAAAAATCAAATATGAGTTGTAAGAAGGAGATTCTTAATTGTAGAAGTTGGATCAACAAAGAGGTGACAACACAAATTACAAAAAATGGGATTCTTATAAGAACTTCCGTTGAAGATGCTCTTATAGGTCGTTTAACCTAGGATTGTCTCAATTTCTTTATTTGATATTTGACTTGTTATAACATCTCCAACAACTATGATAAAATATAAATTTTGAAATTCAAGATGCTATTAGATTCATAAATGAAGAGTGGCCATAAGTGGGTGAAATTCGAATATCAATCATCGTCCATTTTCTAGTCCCTTCTTACGTAGTCGACGTCAAATAAAACCCAGGCCACAAACACAACTGTTATGACATGAATATGAGATCCACAAAGGGTTTGGTTGTTAGATTCCACAATCATATCTATGAATAACATCACTTTAGTTTGCAACTTTGAACTTATAAGAAACTCAACCACATATCTAATTTTCCAACAATATGAAACGGGTTGTTACAAACCAATCTACATCCATTCAAAAACCATCAAAGTGAATTTCAGTCCTTCCAGCCAGCGGCTGTCAGGAGCTGAATCTTATACCCACTAGCTGAATATGAAAACGTTGGTTATAGAAGGCACCTCATCAAACTCGGACCTCATTTCATTTTGTAGCCAATCTTTACGCATATGCATAAGGGATATGATTTTCGGAAAGAAAAAAAAAGAGGATCCTTCGCAGAAAGATGATCCTTACCCAGAAAATCCACTTTCTACATAATGATCGTCTTATTTTTGGTCGAAAACCAATCCTTACGCACAAACGTAAGCTTTCTGCGCAAGTATTGGCTATATAAAGTGAAAGTGGGTCACGATATGGCTATAAGGTTAAATCACTTTGTCTAATCGGCTATTTTTGTCCCATAGGTGGCACTTTCAACGGTAACACCAACAAAATTTTGTTCTCAGAAAAACAAAACATAATACATCATACTAGTATGGTTTCAAAACAAAGTGCCACATGAAGAAAAAAACTGTAACACCATGTATAAAAACATAAGAACAATCACCATGACTCTAAGAAAACCAAGAAACTTATATTGGGTAAAAGGGTCTTAGATATTAATCTGTATTAGCAACCCCACAAACCCTAAATCATAAAAACATATGTGATTAAAAAACAATGATGAGAAAGATTTGACAACCATTTTTAGAGTTATAAAAACACACCTAACCAAGTTGCATTCTCAAGCCTTTTTCTTATCTTTAATTTCTTTCATCGATCTCGGGATCTTACTCAGCACTTTTTTATCGAGTACTGCATATTGTTTCTTGATTTCAATCCATGCTTTCTCAGCAAGCGGGTCGATCTTATCCTCGTATTTATCATAGATCACAGGCACCGAGAAGAGAACCACAAATACTGCATCAAAATTCGAGAAATTAGTGTTGTGGTTATAAAATGTCTTGATTGAAGATGGGATAGTTGGTGTGAGGATTTACTTATGTAGATCAATGTCAAAAAGTTGTAGCAGCTGCCGATGATCGACACAAACCATAAGCCAGCAATAACCTAATCAACAATGATACATATAACCATTAAAACTTTGAAGAAGCAAGTATATACAAAGTAGCCATTAGGCCCCCGATCCTCACTCAGAAATATAAGAAAACCAAGTAACATGCTAGTAATATGCAAAAATGTCGATATAGAATGCAAAACATAAGAATTGACTAAAAGATTGCAGCAAGAAGCTGCTTACAGATAGAAACTTCTTCAGGTCTTTCCCTGAAGCAATATCTCGTATAACTGCAAAACCTCGATTTATCTCAATCCTCAGGGCAGAGACAATTTGCATAAGAGGTTTCTCTGGAATCACAACATGCGGAATTTTTGGTGGAGACCTGCATAGAAACATTCACTCATGCATAAACGGAAATTAAGAGTAAACAAGTATCAGACAGGTGATGGCAATCTGTAAAACAAGAACACTCACTTGTTGATGAATGTTGAGGCATTTGACCACAAAAAGAATATTGCCAGTGTAAGGATGATACTGTGGCAAACCAAAGTCAGAAAATGATACTCCAGAACCTCGAAAAGAAACCAGATCAACGTCACCCCACCTAGAAGTCCACCCGATACCTTTTTATCCTTCCACAGAAGCACATCGGCCGCTTTACAAACAATAGCAAGTTAGATAATTAAAAGGAAGGGGCTTCAGTGATGACATTTAAGCAAGTTTAAATCGGTGATGTTATACTTCATACAAGTAGAACCTTTGACACCCACTAGTGTCACCTTTGACAGCTTATAAAGCCATGAGAAACCCACCTTTTGCTTAGTTACAATCCACTTTATTATTTATTAATTATTAACATATAGCTTTCATTAAGCAAAAGATAAATGGAATACCAGGAACCTTTATGAAGTAAAAGGTAATATCTTAACGGGAAAAACCCCCATAAAGCATGAACTAATTATTAAAGAAAAAGACACTTCCTTTGCTTAAATTATAGACAATCAAAGATGAAATTGTAAATATAACAAATTAACAATATGCCAGGTTTAGATCTAGATGCAGAAGCCAAGAGAAGGTAATGTAGGTTTTGTTCCATCCTTCAAACCTTATTAGTGATAGATCAATAATTGTAAAAGAAAGTAAGAAAATTGGAGCCAACTAATTCTTAATCATATCCTACGATTTCATACACGAACTACTGAGTAGCTCAAGATGAAAAGGTCTTAATATCATAATTGGAGATAAAAGATCAACAATTTTCACAAAAAAATTAACCCGGTCCATGAATCAGCGCCCATATCTAAATTAGCGATGTAGCTGATTCTCGTCCAGATTTTCTATTCGTCAACGACGCTATTGATATCCGGTTGCGAATCAGTAAGGTGTGTTGCGTTACTCACATATATGAGCGCACAGATTGTTCAGAAATGGAACAACTGAATGTCTGAATCATTCTAACAATTACCACCAATCATCAACAAAAATCGAAGAAATAACTCCAGAAGAAAGGATCAAAGAAGTAAATAAAGCAAGTAGGGTTTAAGAGTAGTGGAAACACATCTATGCATCATACTAATCAAAATCCATAAAAAAGAAGTGAAGTAATGTCAATAACATACGCTTTCCACCGCCGAAGACATTGTGAACAGGCTTTTCCCTACCAAATAGGCGAAAAACCTTCGATTTGATGGCCGAAATCTTACTATCGTCATCTGAATCTGAAGAGGAAGAAGAATCATCCTTGTGACCGTGTATCTTCTCCGTTATCTTCTCCATGAACGATTCAGGCTTCGAGTCTTCGTGATCTGGCATATCTTCTCTACTCGATTGAAATCTGAAAACCTAAATCTTGATTTCTTGAGCCTAAAATCTCTGGTTATGAAACGGATCGGCTCTGGAGTATTCAGTAACGCAAAGAATGTGTGAGACTAGCTGCGTAGGTGGGTCATAAACAGAAGATTGTTTACCGAACCTCAGGTCTGGAAACTTTCCCAACCTAGTACTGATATCTACGAGGCTAAGCGGACGTTTTGATGTTCAAAAGTAAAATGTAAACTTCAGTGTAATTGCACTTTACAACCTTATACTTTTGTTTAACCATCTTTTATAAAATTGTAATTTACTTTACACTAAGATAAAGAAAAACAAAAAAAAGAGAAAAGAAGCAAAAAATTAACTAATCTATTTAACTATCGTTAGTCAGAAGAACCAAAAACGAAACAAAATGATAACTACAAGGACTAAAAATTGTAATTCGTTTAAAATAAGGACCATACTTAATAGTAATTAACAAACACAAGGACCAAAATGTAATTTACTCTTGTTCATATTTCAAAAAAAATCAACAAATAAAAAATGTTTTTTGAATAAAAATTAAAATATAACGGAAGATGTCGATGTTTTCTTTCCGTTTCAATCAATCAATTATACGTGTGGATCATTAACGGGCCTTGCACGCACGTCGTTATATAATGCTCCACCAGAACACAGAATGACACGTGGCAATCATCTGGACCGTTGAGTTTGGAAATTAACCAAAATAACATTAATTTCATCAATTAAATTCATTTTTTAATTGTTTTTGAATAAAATTTCTATTTTAATCAGAGTTTATATAAAAACATTTCTAACAACTATGTTATATTTTTTCTAAAGTAGAGTATCAGAAACAAAATTCCTTAAAAGAAATTACATTCAACTCCTACAATTCTATTCTGGCAATTATAATATTAATTATATTATTAAAATATTTGATATATTTAATAAAACAACTAAACATTTATCATAAATACCTCTTATTTATTGGAAAATATTAAAATAGTAACTGCTCTCTCTATAGATTTCTTTAAATTAAGAGATTGTTACAATCCCTCGCCTCTTTTCTATATTTTAGCATACAAGATAACATAGTTGACATAGAAAAAATTTACTAAAATTCATCACTTTTTATTTCTCTATTTTAAAATAGTTGTTAGAGATGTTCTAATATCTTAAGTATTCACATAAAACCCATTTTTAAATTACATAAAAAAAATCCATTCAAAGAATAAATAGACACCAATCACCATCATATTTATTTTAAAAGAATTAATTTCATTTAATTTTCAACCATTTTGTTAGAAACTTAGCTATTAAGAGTCTATTGTACATATTTTAAAGTCAAAAAGATTAACAATTTTATAAAATATTTTTTTATAAATGTATAAAAATAAAATAAATTAT